GAAGAAGAAGAAGAAGAAGAAGAAGAAGAAGAAGAAGAAGAAGAAGAGAGGACACAAAGTTGCTGGGAGGAGGAGAAGCAGGGAATCAGGACGGAGCATATTTGGGAGGAGTTAGGGAAAGAAGTTGAATGAATATGACCAAAATACTTTCATGCGTTGATGAATTCTTAATTAACAAGAACATTATATGGGGGAAAAGACTACAAGAGTAGAAGTCAAGTCTAGTATTATGAAGAAGAGAGAGCAAATTAAACAAAAGGCAAGGTAGGGGGTGTGTGTGTTGTGTGTATGTGTTTAAAATATTTCTTTTATTTTTAAGATTATAATATAACTACACAATTTTCTTTTCCCTTCCCTCCTATATACCCCTCCTTGCTCTCTTTCAAATTCATGATTTCCTCTTTCATTAATTGATGTTGCATGTATATGTGTATATACACATACATATTCCTAAATATAACCTGCTCAGTCTATGTTATGTATGCCGTTCGTATGTTATCAGGGCTGACCATTTGGTATTGGTTAACCAACTGGTATGCTCTTCTCTAAATGAGACCATTTCTCCCACTCTCAGTACTCTTAGTTACTTATGGTTCTTTGTGTAGGCTTGAGGCCTCCTGGGCTTTCCCCCATTCATGTCAGCATGGCTATTGTAGTCCTTGTTCAGCTCATATTCAGGCAATAATGCTGAAAGTTTATGGGTGTAGCTTCTGATGTTATTAGGAACACAGTCTCACAGCAAACTCCCTGATTCTCTGACTCTTACAATCTTTTCACCCCTCATCAAGGAAACTTCCCTTTGGAACAGATGGAGGCCGTTGCTGAAAACCACAACCAATCAAAATGCAGGGTTGTGGAGGCCAGTCCCAAAGGATACATCTACAAAAGTATTCCCACATCTAAGGCTCAGGGAATGTTTTGGAGGAGGGGGTGAAGACTAAACTTAACTGTGTGTATAAGGACAAATATTTAGAAAGTAGTTAGGGATTATGCTGGCTTACTAAAAATAGTATGGAACACTTCATAAATTTGTGTGTCATCCTTGAGCAGTATCAATGCTAGTCTTTGGGTCATTCCAATTTTAGTGTACATGTTTACCAAAGCAAGCATGGTAAGGCAGTTTTTAAACACAAAGGGCTGGCTAGGAAGCATGTATGAAGGACACTGGAGAGAGAGCTGTGGCAAAGTTAAAATGGTCATCTGTTTGCCAGTTGGCATTCTCTGAAATCGGGCTCTTCACACAGGTACCAAGACACAGAAGCCCCATCATTTTCCTTAATGGTCACATTACAAATGGAAATCCCTCAGGCCATGAAGAAAGATATTCCCGGTTATAAAATACAAATTTTATGAGCCAGGAGAAGATGCATTTTCTTAAGGAGAAATTTTCTGAAGTACTCTAAGAAGGAATAAGAAGACAGAAGTCAAAAAGAAGCTTACCTAAATTTTAGATGAGCTAGAAGGAACTCTAACACAGCTGTAGAGTTATGTCCTGGTGGGCAAATAGATTAGTCAGCTTTTCCTTACTGTAACAAAACGCCTGGGATAACCAACTTTGAAAGGGAAAGGTTTATTTTGACTCACAGTTTCAGAGGTTTCAACACGTGCTATTTAACCCTATTGCTTTGGGTCTATAGCAGCACAGTACACAAGGGAGGAATTGCATGGCTCAGGAAGCCTCTTCACCTAATGGTGGTCAGGAAAAGGCAGGAAGGGCCTGAGTCCCAATAACCACCACCACCATCCCCTCACTCCGACAGAGGACATGTGCTATTAATTATCAACCTGACAGAATCTAGAATTACCTAGGAGTCAGGCCCCTAGGAGGGGCTGTAAGGGATTTTCTTATTTTCTTCATTATCTTAGTTGATGCAGACTCACTGCAGTTGCTGCAGAGACCGTTTCCCGGACAGGTGGTCCAAGACAGTATGAAAATGGAGAAAGCGAGCCGAGCCCTGCAAGCGTGCATTCAGCGCTCTCTTTTCTTTTCGTGGCGACAAGTGACCAGTTGTTTCAGTCTCCTGCCACGACGCTCTGAATTGTGAGCTAAAACAAACCCTTTCTCCCTTAGGGTGCTTTTTCAGGGTGTTTTGTCACCGGAAAAGAAGCTAAGACAACACACAACCCGGGTGACCTCCCAGTCACGCCACAGACTGGAGACCACACCTTCAACACATGGGCCTTTGAAGGACATTTAGGCCTTAAACTACAGTAGTGGAGTCTGTACTAATGGATCAGCAAAGAAGCACCAGTCTACAGCAAAAAGCCTGCTGCTACATCCGGCGCCATCTGTCCAAAGCAAGCTTCTTAGTAATCTAAGGCACAGTTAAATGGATAAGCTCCTATTTTCCATAAAGAAGCCATTGTTTTGGGTATTCATTTTAAAATTAGAAAAATTGTAAACTTTAAAAAAAATATGTTAAACTGAAAAAAAAAAATGAAAACAAGGTGCAGTGGTGCATGCTTGTAATCCCACCACTCAGGGAGGCAGGTGCAAGTGTATTTGCTGTTAGTTCAAGGCCAGCCTGGTGTACAAAGCAAGTCCAAGACAGCTAAAGCTACAAAGAGAAACCCTGTCTCAAAAAAAAAAAAACAAAAAACATAAAATAAAATAAATTTTTAAAATGTTAAACCAAAGCAAGAAGAAAAAGACAAGTGTTCTTTTTTTTTTTTTTTTTTTTCACTTACTGCATCAGCTGAATTCTAGAAGTTTAAAGAAAATACAGGGCTGAGCAAAAAGCATGGCTGCTCATTGTGTCCCTCAAGCATCTTCTTGTTTTTTTCTTAAATAAAGCTTTTTCAGGAGGGCGTGGGGAGTTTCTACTTCAGATACCACCGCAGCTGCTTCTACATTCCAATTACCCCAAATAATGCATTTATGCATCTAAGGCACAGTTACATGGGTTAAAGTAGGGGGAACGGCACAATAGTGTATGGGCAAGTGATAGATACACGTTAGCTATTACTTTATGGGAAGGTAGTGATGATGGTGGTGGTGATGGTGATGGTAGTGGCACAACCCTAATTGTAGGGGAACTTTGGCAATGGCAGAGAAGGAGAGTACCCTAGTTATAGCTACTACATCAGCCTCTCCAAAGATCCTGATACATTTCTGTGTGGGAAGATGTAATCATTGTGTTCTTTATAAAGACAGAATTAAAATAAATAACATTTTTCTAGAGACAGACTTCCTCAACAATACTGCTCTCTCCCTCTACTCCGTCAAGCCCACTGTAGACACAAGGAAAATCTGAATATGGAAAACCCCTGGCTCCACTAGTTCTCTTCAGACGTTTCTTGTAGGAAACACATCAGTTAAAAATAAAATAAAACAAAAGACAAGAGAAAGTGTGTGATACTTGAAGGATGATCTCTCTTAACTCTTGTCAGCATCCTTGAAAGGGGCATGCTTTTAATTTCATACTACTCAGACACAGAAGACACAGTTGTTCCTCCTGGGAAAAGCCGACTTGAAAATTCACTCTAGAATTGTTGAAACGAGGTACATTGGTGCTAACTTGACCCAGCAGGGTCATGGATGGGAGCTCCTAACAGGGAAGAACGCCTTAAAGATAGTTTGTTTTTATGCCTGACCTAAACCTTTCACTTCCTCTCACAAGAGAAAAGCAGATGTTCAGTGCAGGGGAGGGGAGGGAATGGGGGAGATGGAGGAAACAAAATAAGTTGCCGTACAGCTCATTCTTTAAAACATCAGCCATGTGCTCATTCTCCTTTTCATGTAGTGTTTAGAACTTCAGCACAGAACAACATTTTCCTCCTTACCTGTAGATGAATTCCCCACACCCTCCCTGCTCTGCTTATACTCTAGACGGCCAAATAAAATAACATTTTCCTAAAGTGTGGTAAGCAATACAGGAGCCATCTTCTCTACAAATGATATTGGCTCTAGTAGACATGCACAAGGAATAAAGATTAATCTAAACCCCTACCTTACAACACACACAAGTTAATTCAAAATGAATCAGATCTTTCATCTACATATAAGGGGGAAGAATCTATACATTTTTAGGAGAAAATCTTCACGCCCTTTGGTTAAGATAGAATTTTCAGTTAAAACACAATATATAAACAATGATTTAAAAAAAATTGATGAGTTGGACTGGATCAAAATGTTAATGTTGTACATTTCAGAAGATACTGTTAAAAGAATAAACACAAAAAAGACAAGATACAATCATGGAAAAGGTATTTGCAAATCATGAAGCTGCTAAGAAAGTTACATAATGAATTCTTACAACAGAAATAAAATGAACCCAGTTTTTATAATAGGCAAAGGATTTTTAAAAACACTAAAGGAGCTATGAAAAGACCAAGAAATACATGAAAAGATGCTTAACAGCATTTGTAACTACAGAAATTAAAACTAAAGCCAAAAGGAGACCAACTGAAGGAATACAAGACAGAAATTGCAAGTATTGGCAGGGACCCTCAAATACTGTTGATGTAAATTTAAAACAGTTCAGCTCCTTTGGGAAAATGAATAGTTTTTGGGGTTTTTTTCCTTGTTTGTTTGTTTGTTTTTGGGTTTTCAAGACAGGGTTTCTCTGTGTAGCATTGACTGTCCTGGACTCACTTTGTAGACCAGGCTGACCTAGACTCACAGAGATCCACCTGCCTCTGCCTCCTCGAGTGCTGGGATTACAAGTGTGTGCCACGGCACCCAGCTGTTTTGTTCTTTAACATGCTTTTATTGATTCTTTGGGAATTTCATATCGTACACCCCAATCACCAGCTCTTCCACGTCCACCCCTGTGACTTTCCCTCCCCCAAAATAGAAAATTAAATTTAAAAAAACAGAAAACATGTCCAGTTTTTGTTATCTATATACTCATGGGAGCATAGTCAAATTCTTAGTGGCCAGCTCCTTAAATAGAACTTCCCCTGCCAGAAGCCATCAGTTAGGGAGAGCTACATTTCAGCATCCCTGTCACAGTAGCTGGGCTGCCTTGTCTGGCCTCAGTGGAAGAGGATGTGCTTAGTTCTCATGCAACTTGATGTGCCGGGGTGGGTTGGTGGGGGGAGGCACCCTTTTTCTTAGGAGAATGGGGAGAAGGGGGGAATGATGGAAGGGTGGGACCGGGAAAAGAGAAGGGAGGGGCTGCATTCCATTTGGGATGTAAAGTGAATAAATAAATTAATTTAGTTTTTTTTAAGAGTTCTTTTTCATAACTTCCTGTTTAGGCTGTTGATTTGGGGAGGGGGGTGGGGGGTTTGGGGCGCAGTCCTCTGCTGGAGGTAGAGGGAAGCAAATTTGAAAAAAAAAACAGTAATAATAATAAGGCAGCACATCCACAGCAGCCCGAGCTGCATGACCTTGTATCAGAAAGACAGAAAGAGAGAGGACTGAGGAAATGCACCAGTAATTAAAAACAATACCCACATAAAAATGCCCCTGTGTGGGCTATCTCTTAGCATTTAATAGATTCTGTAAGAAGAAGAAACAGTTTTCTTTAATGATGGTAGGGGATGTAAAGAGAATACATTATAAAAAGTAAGTTTAAATTTATAAATAAATTAAATAAATAAATAAATAGAGAGATAAATAAATAAATAAATAAATAAGTAAATAAATAAATAAATAAAGAAGGGTTCTTTGAGGTATGGTGAAATATTTTAAGAGGCAGCAAAAAGTGTAAATTTACTAAAAACCATAGATTTAGAAAGCATTTATGCCCAGGCCTGTGGCATATAAAACACACTTCAGTACCCTGAAATCCTAAACCATAAATACACTTACATTCAGTTGAACTGGGTAGCGCTAACTGAACGTGTCCACACTTGACACTGAGCTGTTACTCCTGATGGAAACGAGCTATCCATGCAGGACCACCTCTTTAACAGAAAGAATAGCAGGCCAAGTTGAGTCATAGCATCTAACCAGGCCTGAAAGCCCAGGCCTGTCATCTCCGCACACATCATGTGTTAAAATGAAGCAAGTAGCAAGGCAACACTCCCTGGCATTTGGAGTTGAGATTGACCCCTAGGCAGGCTGTATAATCACTGCAAAAATAAAAATTAAAGCCTTCATAAGACCTGGAAATGCTGCTCAAACACTCCAAAAAAATTTTATTTTATTTTTCTCTTGGC